TGGACCTGGACGTTTCAGATCGAACGAATGAATCAATTAAAAAGGATACATGGTCCGAAAACATTCCGGTTTGGCTTCTGGAAATAATGAGTGAATACTTGGAACGTTTGACGTGAACGATGACCCCTAGCAAACTCAGTCCAACCATTTCAGAAAGCCTGATTGAATTAAACGACTGTGTCAAGGTGCGAGATGCACTTAAAAAAATGCAAAGCAAAAAAACTAGGATTATGAAATACGCCGAAACACGAACCAATCAAAGTCATTTTCCCAAAATGTGTAAACATCACGAATGGCTTATCAATCTGGTACTACCGTGACAACCAATGTGCTTTGGGTGAAGGATTTGTTCTCCTTCTCTCTCCGCCTATGATATGTTATTTTTGACCACATTATATTGATCCCGGAGACTGGAATATGCATGTTTACACGTACAGTGAAATGATCCTGGACGAATTGTGCAAACTTATTCTTGACTTCTCTGGTTGAATGCGATCATATGGTGAGAATTGAGATTATATCAAGGGATTGCCGAGGCTCTATTGCAGAGGATAAAAGAGCTTGCAGAAATATAGATGGAAATGTTCTATTCTCCCTTAATGTGGTCGTTTATACTTTGTGCGTTTTTCGGTGTTTTTATATTGCACTGAATTCTCGCTACGAAGAACAAGGATCATACTTTAATTTTTTCATGTAAACTACAGGACATAACATTACTCATTTGAGCCATATAACCGTTATATTTAAACGAGTTTTCAAGTGATTAGAACAAAACGGTCAATGCAAATTTGCGGACCCTTCACGGACGTTTTGAAATAGTACAGGTCAACGCTTATAGCTCGTCGAAGAAAAAATGGAATTTATAGGAAAATAACAAACAGTTTGTGATTTATACCGTAAATTCCTCTCGATTTCTTCATGCTACAGAGGATAATTTTGCCTCAGTTGTTAAAAAACTTCAAAGATTTCTACAAATAAAGGCAGATTGAAAAATATTGGATCTTAACTAGACACTTAATTTCATTGTAACCGGTACAGAAAATAAAAAAACCCAAGATATTAGAAATCGAAGGATTAAAGAAGCTCGTTATCCTGTTATCCATTCACTAAGTAAATACAGAGGACTGCAGATCGAAACCTAAAATAAGAGAAGGTTGAAATAAAAGTTGACTCCAATAAGGGACATCAAAATAGTGTTCCAGTATGTTCCATTGATGTTATTTATATATATATATATATATATATATATATATATATTAAAAACCAAAATGCGGCCGCCTTGACCGAATTTCGATATGTGCATTGCTACACATGAATTCTTGAATGACAACGCAACAAACAAATTACAAATTTGCGGTCCATGGCGGTTAGACTGATTATTAATTGACTATTTGAATACCACTTTGATTAAGTAAGCGGTTATGCAAAATTACTCAAATTACGTTAAGGTATGCATGCTTCGAAACTCGCGAGTTTGCGGAACTTCAAATAAGAACACATTTAGGAGTGAAAAGCCTATTCGGCGCATTAAAAAGTGAGGCATAATCTGAATATGTATCGAACCCATGGAAATTCAACCACGTTTCTTTTGTTCTTTTTGTCAACTATAGTCACGGTGCCTTTGGTAAACAATTCAAGTGTGATCATTCATTGTTCACATTAGCTTCATTTACGGGATTTCATTTAGTGACGATTCACCGCCTAATGGACATTGGACCCGGTGTGAAACTAAATTGTACCAACAGAATTAAAAGCATCGCCCGGAGTGGTAGTTTAGAATTAGGAATAGGTACAAATTTCCCTTATAGCTTGCCACTTTACTTTATCATCTGATGATTATCACTTTTGTAGTTGGCCTACTTACTTTAATAATTTTAATTATATGGCTTTTTGGCAAGCAGTCGTGCTTTCCTTTTTTGCAAAGAAAGTTGAATCTCAAGCTCCAAGCTTTCTGAAATTCATTCCCTGCGCTTTGGTCTGCTGTCAAAACCAAAATGGGGATATTGAGCAGTTTCAGATTTTGGAGAACTATTATTTATTCAAAATGTTTTATAGACGTACTACCACTTGGTGAAGAAGAAAAACAACCCGGATTGATGTGCTCACTTCTCACTCTGCCGCACAGCGACAGAAGAAACACTGACATAAAACCAATAAATTACGCTCTATTGCTAATTGTGATATACAGCTCACGAAGAAATACGACCGAGGACTGATGAAAATTTATCTGAGACGAACCGCCACTGCCAAATCCATACGGATGCTCATTATGCTAAAAAGCAGAGAGAGTGTCTGAATTATTATTTGACCACTATCTAAATAATTTGCGTTCATTCACTAAATTCCACACACAGAATCTCTGCCGATTCCGCAATTTTTCTCAGAACCACAAACAAACGCATGATGCATGATGGGATCCGTTCTTCGTTCAAGATGACGTAGAAGCTTTGTCCCCGTCTGTGGACGAGCAATAATGGTAAAAGGAAGGGAAAGACGGTTGGTATCGATCAAAGTGCTTGCGTAGACTGCAACATCAGAATAATTTTCGGGCTGATCGAGAAATCAACAACAACAACAACAACAACAAGGAACAAATTGGACGTTACAATGAACTCAGACTTGTGCACATATGACGTTTTTTTCCAAAATGAACGATTGGCTAAATCTCAATCTCACGCCCGATTTGTGAGGTGCTTCACCAAACTATGGTGTGGTTTGAACCCGATCGCAATTTCAACTCATTCAAATTGTCTTATCCGTAGGTGTAATAAATGATTAAAATTTCGTAAGCAGTATATTATATTCCTACACGGTTGCCATGTTCATGGAAACTTTAATCATATTCTGGGCTCTGTAGTTGACGTATTATGCAACGGCGCATGTTTTGATATATATTTCCACAGAAACCACGGTATTCATCCTACATCTGCCCCGGCACATCAAGCAAATACTCGCACTCAACAGGCACTGGAAAACCCGCATTCTTTTCATGTATCACTTGACCACAATTGAAGTGTGCATTTAGCTGGTACTTTGGACTTTTCTGGATCACCTTTCTGACCAATATATATTCGCATTTAAACAGATCACTTACGTTTTGTTTTCTGACGGTGTCTGAACCTATGATAAATTTGTTCATCCATAACTTGGAGTCAAGTTATCCGCCTTCCAATTTAACGCTTCATTATAAACCTGTACAAATCCATATAACACACTCCCGTTTCTGAATGTGATGTGGCGATTGTATTCTATCGGTTGACTCACCACTAACATGGTGATTGGTTTTGAAGTCTACTTAAAAATCACTTACCTCGTGAATGATCAAATCCTCTTTTACTAACTACCGTTCTGCTTGCTCACATGTTGCTCACATGATTGTCACCTGTTCAGCATCCGTTTTCGTTCTTAAAACGATGAAATCATGTAACGTATCATATTTGGATTCAGAATTTGAGCTAACTAATATTTATGGATCTTATCATGATAAAACCGACTTTTTCGTTTGCTGATCAAATGGCTTCGTAATTCAAAATATAATGCTGAAAATTAATTATTTTTTTCAATCCTCTACCTCAAACACTGCGGTTCATAAAGCTTATGTACGAGTTTAGTCTCGCTGCGCTTTCCGAGGTTGATCACTAGCAACGAACTGAGTAATTCAACGTTTCTGCCAACACGTTCTATTTACTGTGATGAGAAAAAAACTTACTTTGGTACATTTCACTTCATGTACATTCTGATCAGTTATCTCTGTTAATTCTGACTGAATTTGGTCACCAGTTGTTAGTAATATAGTAGTAGGGAGACACTTTCCTCATGTTCTAAGTCAGCCCATGGACACTTTTATGAAGATGCAAATTAAATCAACACATGCAAATGTTCATCGGTCAATGCAATACATTGGGTTTTGGGAGATTTTCGCGGTTGAAATAAACAGTTGCTAATTCGTCGAACCTGAGTGAATGCTGAGTCATTACCTTGTTTGATTTGTAAAACTTTGTCTAAGTCGGAGCTAACCGCCGGGATTGTTTAAGTGTGAATGCGGCGGATTCGGCAGCTGGAAGTGGAGCTTTACTGCATGAGTGTTCCTGATTGACAGATCAGTGAATGTTCAGGTCTGGTGCATCCAAGNATTCGGCTAAACTAACTGACAAAACACATCGTATGTTTGTCTTTAAGAGTTAAATTTAGGCCCGCGTAAAATGAGGGAGTCATTCTGCAAAGCTAGTAGAATATACGTGACTAGTCTAAATAGACAACTGGTACCCGCCATGCTAAAAGCAGTATTTCCGGATGCATTTGGCGAACGAAAAACACTTTCATGACCATTTTGAATCAAATTTAGAGTGTGTGCCTTGTAACATTTAAACATGAGGGAAAGAAAAGCGCGTTAAGCGCACCAAGTCAAAACGAAAAATATCGTGATGGCGCGTACCGAATGCATAATCTCTAAGGATAGGGGAAATCCATGAAAACCGTTTTTATTCTTGGTAGTTATCGGGTTACGCTGTGATATTTCCTTAACATTCTCATCAACTGCGTTGCAAAAGAAGGCGCATGGTTAGTTGGCTCATGGGCTTTTTCCGCAAAGCATATAAAGGTTACAGCTGTCGACATGTCATCAAACTGATTCGTTCTCTGAAACACTTTGAATCGTCACTCGTTGACCTTTTGGGTGTTTTTACCATCCACTATTAAATGCGCCATTTATGTTCGCAAGGCAATCTGTCGCGCGTGAAATGAGTCCAAAAACCAGCTCGATATAGGCGTCCATTGAAAGATTTCCCTATCTCTAAGCATCAGTCAGGATTGCCGATAACTTGTTGTGACATGTTGCCTTAGTTATTACCTTTAAAAGCTGCAGCTAGAGATCATTTTTTCTACAGACAGTTTTATTCATCTGTCAAAGAAAATCACTCACAACAGAAAGGAGATTCAACTGCGAAATATACAACGATAAAAACACGCGTAACTTATCCAGGAGAGTCGAGTACACTCACCGGCAAAACGATTGCATCACCTCGAGCAACGTGGCCTGCAGTTTGTGTGCATAGGTACCCGGTTTTGCACGCAAAATCATTTCGTTATCACTCTCGTGATCCACGTCCTCGTATTCGGGCAGCACATGCACATCAGACAGTTTGATGAGGAATGTCAGACCGGAGGGACGGTTCTGCAAAGGTTATCAGGAGATAGAGCAACAAGAAAAAGAACAGACACAAATTAGATTGAAATAAATTTTAAGAAATAATATCTATGGACTGTGTAAATATACACCTGTAAGGTTAAAAAATTATTGATTCACTCGCGTATGTGTCAGCAGTGCTATTGAGAGTCCTCGTCCCGAATAGAGCGACGTTTGTAAGTCTCCTTAGTAATGAACGATTTTATGCTTGTTCGGCTTTCAATGGCTTCCCAATGAACGAAGATCAATATGTTACTCGTTCCTCTGTGATCGTGTCCATGAACTACTCACAACTTCGTGGTTTAGGGCTCGAATGTATGCATGTATGTATGTACGTGTCTTATATGATTACGCAGTTGGTTTCTGCGCAAAGGTTTGAAAGAAAATAATATTAGCGTAGACATTTGAAAGAAGATATGCAGTTCTTCCTGAAAAAATGAATTACATTCCAGTTACAGATGTCCACCATTTAGCCCTAAACTGTCACGGTAACGAACGTGTATTCGTTGCAAGCCGTTATCCAAAGGGATACAATTAGTTCGCTGTAACAAGTGTTTAATTATTCCGTTAGTGAGGGTTGCATCAGATCGTGTATGTACATATAGATCTGTGGTTAAATTCATGACCAAAAAATGTTAGATTTACACGATCAGCGAAACGTTTTAGTAAACCTTCCCGGATTCCTGTAAAGTTGAAACTATGCTCAATAAATATGAGCGCATTCAAATCAAAATCTGAATATAATAGATAAACACGTACACACCTTATGCAATGCAAATACTTGCGATTCCAAGCACGGAATGCTTGATCACTCATACACGTCAGAATTGTATTACTTTTTCTCGGACCATGTTTTATTTGCAGCATTCTGGCTCAGTGTATTTAAAATGAGAAGGCACTAATCAAGCCCCATCTGCAAACCACTTAAGTAAATAGCAAGGATGTCCATAGCTTTAAGAAACCAACCATTAGAAAAACAACCATTATTCACAACCGCATTAGTGAAAAAGACAAACGTGATTTGGGTTGGCACTCACCCAGCGAAAAGCGTATTGCTTTCCCATCGTATTAATGGTTGCAGTCTGTATGTAAACTTGGTCTTCCAGCAAACTGTCCACTAAGATGTTATCACTTGGCATGATGAACAGCTTGGGGGTATGGACTGAAATGAAACCCAAACGGAAATAGGTGGCGGGGGGGGGGNGGGTGATCACAAGTAGACGGAAATTTAATGGATCTATTCAGAAAAAGGGCATTCAAGTCAGAATATTGTATTTCGTTGCATGCGATAGCATCTGCATGTGTTTCTTTTGGGAGTATATTTACATGCAAAAGTTTTGTTAAGATACTTTCAACTAATGTTGACCTGCCGTTGATCGTAATCTGAAACAAAATACCTTTAACGCTTTTTCAGGGCTAAATATCCACCTGGATTTATCATGATGTAAATCTGAACATATATTCGGTCATAGCTGATGTACGAAAATATGGCTTATTTTTAGGTGGATGCTAGAATCCGACCCGGTGCTAGCCAAATGCCAAAGCAAACGTATATCATCAGTTACCTTCTGCAAACTATTGACCATCAAACGTCAAATGGATCACAAAAACAATGACAAATGAATCAAACATGTCTCAAGTTAAGATGCAATTCAACGTCGTACACATTTTTCTGTGCCTTATCCGTGTTGATTAGTTCTTTTATGCTATTCGATTAGGTGTTGATCGGAAAGCTCCATAATGATTTGACTATGGATGTAGAGGGTCAAACGCTCTCATGATTTTGTTTGTTTTGAAAAGTACAGCTATTGGCGAAGTATTCGTAAGATTTCTTTTAGTCTAACGTGAACACGATCTTGAGAGTCATAAACGTATGAGAAACGGATTCCAAAACTGATAAAGAATGTAGTCTACAACATCAAAATTTGAACAGGAAGATTCAGTGCAGTGTTGAACAGCCTATCATGCTTTATATTATCACCCTGGGAGTGTGGCATTGGATAAACATGTAGAAAAAAGTTCCTTCTTGCAACAATGAAATGCACATTGCAAAGCAGTTATTATTGTGAGAAAATGAAAGTCAGTCTACTTAGGTAATTCAAAATAAGTTAACTTGCATCTCAAGAAGCGCGATGCTTAGGCAGTGTGTAGAATGTTGACTGCAAGCTTGTATATCGGTTGCTGAAGATCCGATACAATACAATACCTCATATAGTACCAAGGTTTGGTTTCTGTAAACTGAAGTACATTGTTCTGGAATCGACTTTTGTACCCCTGATAAACTGTTTTTTTTTTATTTATGAGATCGAATGTCAACTGATTAATTGGGTTTACGGTTTATCATAGGCCTAGTTTTCCAGATATTTGCATTCGGAACATCAGAGAACTGTTAAATTAAATGATTGATAGAACCACTCTTATAAAGGTTGAGCTAATATTGTGTTCACCTTTGTGAATCGAGAGAAAAGCAGAAATATAAATCAAGAAATGTAAAGCTTGTATTCAAGGGGTGTGGGCAGACACGCCAACGTTTATCCTCGTGTTACTATTCCACCTGGCGACAACTTCGCTGAACGGTTCATGTTTAGAAAAAGTAATACCTGGACAGTGATGCGGTTGCAATCTCTATTGTTCTGTCAACTCTGAGAGATTAATGCTTTAAACTTCACCTTTGAAGACCAGGCACAGACGACAACACCCTACGGGGATTCAATTACCTTTCTTCGACACATGAAAACTGTCAAACTCAAATCAAAAATTAAAACGTTTACCTGTGATGGAAATGTTTGTGAAAACCAACAAAGAGCACTAGACAGCTGTTTCGTCCTGTTTGGGACTCGTCGGCAGTGCGTACTTTCCGTGTCTCTGTCAGGACTCCAACAGCGAACATTCGGGTTTGGATTTCAAACCCTTACTCCTGAGCTATAGGACTCCCTCGTGGCTCCTAACAAGCGAATGGGTTAATCCAAGCTTGCTACTCTAAAACGTTTACCCTTTCAAGTTTCAAATATAGTCGAGCATGCATTTTTCGTGAGTTCCTTCTGAAGCCATTACAATCAAATTCATGTCAGACGATAATCAGAGGGTATTTCAATGGGGTCAAACAGTCCAGGTCAAATAATTATAGCAAACGAGTGGAGGAGAGACACATTTGCCCCAGTTATATTGTGTTCACATATGAACATGTTACGTAAACGTTGGTATTTGATTTCGCTCATGCATTATGTAGCTTGCTTTGGGCTAGGTAAGTTGAAGTGCCAGAACAAGTGCCTTCTAAAGTTCGCAGTTCTGACTTCAACAAGCGGATAATGATTGTCCCGGCTGTGGCTAGTGTTTTAAAGCGAAAAGAAAGGCCAAACTCTAACGGGTTCTAGGAATTTGGCCAACCACTGAACCAACAAAACAGTGTCAGAGAAACACTGACTTTTTTTACCAAAATATATGATGGTGAAAGCCAAATTACTGTCCACCCTAGGGCCAGTTTCTACCACGTGTACAACAATGGGAACTGGAAATAACTCCGGTTCCTCCTGATCTAAGCCGAAGGAGTTGATCTTCTTTGATACCCTTAAGTTGTTGCCCTATTGCACGACCTACGAGAGTTGAACCCTAGGGGCATTTGAATTGGTAGATGGGCATGGCTGTTAGAGGGCGCCAAAATAAACTAAAGCTTTCGATTACCAAATCCCTCGACCACTTCTCTGTCTCTCACTCGCCAGTAGAATCTAAATAACGGTGCTTTCTTCTCAGATATGAGGTGGCATGTAGTGGGGAAATCCAATGCGCACTGCTAAGGTATTCCAAAGTATGAACGCCAGGAATTCACAAAGGCTGTTCACTGCTGCAAAATGTCAAACACAAAGATACGTTTATTGAGAAATAACCTACGATTTCGTGATTATCGGCATTGCGCTCAATCGTTTACTATAATTTATGGTGTATTGATCAATCAAATCACTAGGTACTTCGTTTGAAATGTTAACGTGAAAGAGCATCCGGTTAGTACGGACAATTCCTTTCACAATTCATTAGAAAAGCCTCAGATATATTCCCATTATTAACGTGGCAATAATGTATCTTTATCCCCTCCAACTTCGAATGCAAACAATAACAGAGTTGTCTTCGCGTCCTCAGGTTCGGTCGTATAACGTTAGATTTTCCGTCACGCAAAGCTTAGATTTTTATACATGTCATCAATAACAACTATGTATGGATCCCCTTTGTGTTGATACAACCATTTTGTTTTCCTTTCAATGGCGTTCAACGTTTCATGTATATGTGATGCATTTTCCGAATCATTTTATTATATCAATATATATATATATATATATTGCAGCTGGAGTGACCAGTAGCCGACGGTCAGAATATGCAAGATCATGTATTGAGAAAAATTACGATCAGTATCACTCATCAAGTCGACTGCACAGTTGAGGAAGATAATTTTCAAGGACTAGTTTTCTAAGCTTTTAGGATAAATCTGGTTTTGTAGATGATTCTGTATACATCGTGCAGTGCAACAAAAGGAGGTACATTCTGCAAAAAATGTCTTCATTTAATGATCTTATTTCAACAGGAATTTTGGTTGATCTAAAGCGACAGTTTTCGACAAAGTGTAAGATATTTATAGAGAATATATCTCGGATAACGAATATGAGTAATTGCTGAAAATCAAACGGTTATCCATAAGGGTTTACACCAAACTACCCAGTTCTACATGGATATATATAACAATGGTCCCTAGGGTTGTTTTGTTTTCACATTTGACGGTGTCAACTGGTTACTTTCAGCGCGCTCATAATTACTCCGCAGACGAGCTTTTGAACTGGTCCAAACTAACATTGGAGTGGCGGTAATAAAATGGGGATATATTCTGTGCAGAAAGCGACGCATTCAAAACCCGCTGTATTAAAAATAACCCCGGGATTCTCCAATGATCGGAAGTGCTCACTGGTCCGTCAAAGATTCCATCCTCTATTTGTACAATCAGTGTGACTGGTTTTTCACCCAGTCATTATTTTGGTAAGTTGTATTTCTTGTATTTCTTGCATCTGGGTTTGGTTACCGAAACAAACGAATATCACTGAGGCTTCGGTTAATTTGTGAACACCTGTTTGTACACTTTGCTTTTTGATTCAGTTTTGCGTCACTATTTATTTGGATGGAATCCAATGGGACAGTTACCGTTCACGCAAGGGACCAGAAATTGCCAGTCATATAAATTAATCTCATTGAAATGCTGATTAATTCATAATATATGATCAACTATCTGATCAAATATTTTATCTCAAATATTGATCTATTTTCGACCAAAGCTGAAAGTAGTTAATCATTGCTGTACAATAATTTTTGTTCATTATTTCTGCAGATCGAATTCATCCATTAGTAAGTTCTATAAAATCTTTGTCTAAGAATTACTGCAGATCTCTAACACCATCATGCCTACTACATGACCCAAAACTGTTGTCAAGGATAAGATTATCTTCGTTGATTTGGAATCAATACGTGGCACGTAGATGGATCAACTGTTACTGAGTGAATAATATGTCAGCAACATGTAGGTTTTCCTAAATGGGACATAGTGAAATGCTAATTACCATGATCATTAGTAGTATAGACGGTTAAAGGCTTTCCCACCCACGATAGTTGGAAAAAAAATCAACAAGAAATCAGTTATGGAGAACAGCAAACGAGACATCCCCGTCAATTCGCAGGGTACGGAAAAAAATTACCAGACCAAAGCAAACTAAACACCAGCAACTCTTAACACTGCATGGAATGTAATGCCAATACGTGAAACGAGTGGAAATCTTATAAAAACACTAGTATTTGAACTGGTTGTACGTCGAAAACTAACTGAACATGTATTCAGTGGTTGCAATTAGCGTTTATTCAATTTTCGCGATAACCGGCAAGGTTGACCGATTACCTAAGCTATAAACTAATATTTGCAATTATTAAAAGTAAGTATAAATAAGCCATTATTCCAATCACTTGAATTATTGATCTTTGTTTGTTTCGACATCTTTCTGCACAAATGCAGGAAATACGGACTGTGATTCTTTATTATTACTGCCTAGTAGACAGTTATGAAACAACTGCTTCCTAAATCTTCAGAAGCATCTGTGTCACACATTTAGGA